ACCTGGCTTTCTGCTGCTTTCCCAGGTGCATCAGCAGGGAGCAAATTGGAAGCAGAGCAGCCAGAACTCAAACCATGGCTCAGGATCTTAACCTGCTGTGCCCCTTTAACAGCTTTTTGGTGGAGTCTTGGTGGTTTTCAATATATTATGTCTTGCCATCTGCAAATGGTGACAGTTTGACTTCTTCCTTTCTGATTTGGATGTTTTTAATTTCTTTCTCTTGCCTGATTTTTCAGGCTGAGATTTCCAGTATTGTGTTGAATAAAAGGAGGGAAAATGCACATCTTTGTCAATTTTTCACCTTTCAGTATGATGCTGACTATTGGCTTATTGTGTATGGCCATGATTATGTTGAGTTATGTTGCTTTGTTATTCCCATCCTACTGTGTCCATTGTTGCTCATTTTCTAGCTGTAGTTAAAAGCTTTAATTTTATTTACTTTCAGATTTTTTTTTGTATAAGTATATATTTAAAATTTCTTTGATGTATTGATTTGGTTGAATCCCACAGGTCTTGTAGTTTCATGTTTCCATTCCCACATATTTATTTATGAAATTTTAGCTATAGAATATATATAGATAGAAAAATGGTAGTGTGACAGATTAACATACCTGTTGCCATCTCACATAGTTACTTGTTTTTTGTTGTTTTGGCAGTAACAGCTGAAATCTACTCATTTAGCAGGAATTTAAATTGCAGTCAAGTTTTTCAAACTAGTCTTTAATTTTATAATATCATTAAATTTTAGTTTTATAATATCATGGAATGTTTCTCTAGTTTCTGATACTGATATGTTCTTTGTGGCCTAAATCTAACATTCATTTTTTTCTGAATGTTAAGTGTTCACTTAGAAAGAATATAAGTATATATAAATATGTGTACTAGATTAAGATATTCTGATATTGAAGGCCATATATCTCTTGCTTATGAGTTATCAGTTTATTTTCTTGATATGTGAGTGATGTATTTTTGTCTTCCCTAATCACCAGACTTGGCAGTTTTTCTTTTTTTGCTAGAGTTTTTTCATGGATATTAATCCAATGTTGTTTTACCTTTACTAGTTTATGATTCTTGGACTTCTTGATGTATTTTGACACTGGTTTTTAAGGATATACTAAGTTCATCTACTTATGGTTTTTTGTGAGTTCTTTCTTGTCTGTCATCAAAATTACTCTGTATTTTCTCCCTCATTTTCAAATTTAACCTCTTCAATTTTTCTCTTCTTAATAACTTACTGCTAAATTTTATTTTTAAAAAAGATTTATTTATTTATTTGATAGTCAGATTTACAGAGAGAGGGAGTGACAGAGAATCTTCCATCTGTTGATTCACTCCCCAGATGGCCACAACATCCAGCACTGGGCCAGGCTAAAGCCAGGAGCCAGGAGCCAGGAGCTTCATCTGGGTCACCCACATGGGTGGCAGGGGCCCAAGTATTTTGGGCCATCTTCTGCTGCTTTCTTTTCTCAGGCCATTGGATTGGAAATGAAGTAGCCAGGATATGACTGGTATCCATATGGGATGCTACCAAATGACCCCCATATGGGATGTTGTTGTTGTCTTTAGCCACTATGCCACAACTCTAGCCTCCAGAGTTTTTCTATTAATTGGGGATGTTGATTCACTTAGGTTTATTGTAATCATTGATGTTTAGACTTAACTTTCTTCTTATTTTATTGTATTTTACTAATCATGCTGTCTTACTGAGTATCCTTCTCTTCTGACTTCCTACTCCTCACCCTGTTTTCCCTTCTTCATTGCATTTTTTCTTCCAATCTCCTTCCCTCAATTTGTTCGAGATTTATGTACCTTATTTGTATTAATCTAGTGATTGCCTTTTAAGAGGTAAGAAACATAGTAAAGCTAACACAGTTTGGACATAACTAGTATCTGAGTTCAGTATTGATTAATTTAAAAAAAACTGCAGCATAGTTTAATTTTCCTTTCTTATGATTCTGTGCCTTCCTATACTTCCCCATTATTCCATGTTATACTAAGATAATATGAATTTTATGTCTGCTTTTTTCCTATGCATGATAAAATTGCAATGTTTTCATATCTCATTGAGGGACTGTTTTTAGTATTCATGTTGCAAAATCATGTTCCTTTTAATTTTGAAAATACCACTTTCTTTTTGCAGCCATTGTTGTCTGTGATAATATTGTGCTTCTTGAATAATTTTACACTTAAATGCAACCTCTCCCTTTTTTTCTGGGAGAATTCCACTCAAACATTGAGCTTCTACTGTTTTAGCTGTGTCCCTTCTTCTATTCACTGCCCACTATGTGTTTTATTTTACAGATTAGATACTTAATCTCAAACTATTTTTTTAAAGTGTGTGTCTTCTCAAACTCATTGAAGATGTGGGTTACTGATATTCCAACTTTTGTTGGAACTTTTTGTTGGAACTCATCCAGGGTTTTAGTTTTCCTGCTCATCGAACTTTGTGATTATATTTCATGGTAGTGATTTTCCTTAAATGATTTGTGACTTTTGGTGGTATACACGCTTTTGTATTTGAGAATTCACTTTTAGCTTATTCTGTTTTCTGGAAGTCATCTTTAGTGATGGAGTGAAAGAGGCGGAGATTAGGTTACGGCTTGTGGAAACATTTCCCCTTTCTGTTCCACCCTTCCGTCCTAGATAGTTCTCCGCTGTCTTCTGTGCACCTGTCCTTGCAGCTTGCTTGGGAGGCTACCATGTTCCCACCTGTGTTGATCAGTCTCACCTTTACCTGGAGCTTCCTGCTTCTTTTATCTGATAGCCTATTTTAAATGTCGGGGCTTTTCTCTGAGGGTTTGATTTTACTTACTTGCTTGTCTTCCTGATTCCTCAGAATTTCCAATTAGATGGTAGTAATCTTTTTTGTTTTCTATTCCTGATTCTTTCTTACTATGTTTGAAAGATAGCTCTTTTCAGTCACTATGTGGTATTTGGGCTTGGAGGGAGGTAAGAAGCATGTGTTCAACTTGCCACACAGACTCCTTATCAACTATGAGTCAGGATCATTGCCTCTACATTGAGTGTGTGCGAGTGTGTGTGTGTGTGTGTGTGTGTTTGTGTTTTCCTAAATGGTGTAAGAGTACACTCAAAAGTAGGGTTAAAACTCAAACTCAAGAATAGTGATGGGGGCCGGCGCTGTGTCATAGTGGATAAAGCTGCCATCTGCAGTGCCAGCATCCCATGTGGGCGCTGGTTTGAGTCCCAGCTGCTCCACTTCCAATCCAGGTCTCTGCTAATGGCCTGAGAAAGCAGTAGAAGATGGCTCAAGTCCTTAGGCTCTTGCACCTGCGTGGGAGACCCAGAAGAAGCTCCTGGCTCCTGGCTTCAGAGCGGCACAGCTCCAGCCATTGTGGCCATCTGGGGAGTAAACCAGTGGATGGAAGACACCTCTCTCTCTCTCTCACTCTCTCTGCCTCAGCCACTCTATAACTCTGCCTTTCAACTAAGTAAATTAAAAAAAAATAGTGATGTATTTTCTTTCTGTAGGAAGTTCTTTTGTAAACTTTAAAAATTGCTTATTTATAAAATGCCATAATCATTAACAACTTGGAATGAATTATGTATGTATATATAACTCTGATCTCCTAAATGCTTTTAGTTTCTTTTTTTTCTTTTTCTTTTTTTAAAAATTTATTTGAAAGGTAGAGTTATAGACAGAGAAAGACAGAGAGAAAGGTCTTCCTTCTGTTGGTTCACCCCCCCAAATGGCTGCAGTGCCAATCCGAAGCCAGGAGCAAGGTGCCTCCTCCTGGTCTCCCATGTGGGTGCAGGGGCCCAAGCATTTGGGCCATCCTCCACTGCCCTCTTGGGCCACAGCAGAGAGCTGGACTGGAAGAGGAGCAACTGGGGACTAGAACTGGCGCCCATATGGGATGCCTGTGTCGCAGGCGGAGGATTAACCAAGTGAGCCACGGTGCTGGCCCCTTTTAGTTTCTTATTTATCATTTTCTAAGATATTTTGATATTACCCTTTTATAGTATTAGTAACAAAATAGATAATTTCCTATTGAAGTGAAAAGTGAATGTTTTTTCCCTGTGGAAGCCAGCAGTTCCTTTTTTTTACTCCATTGTTGAAATTGTTATGGGAGTTGGCAGTGAAAGAGATATGAGATCTTTCACTCAGTGCATTTTTGGTCAGGATTGGATGTAATCTTTGTCAAAGAAAAGTTATATTTTTGTAGCTCAACCTTAAAGGTGGGTTTATCTATAATTAATATGGGTATGTATTCATTAGTGATATCCAAATGATATCTCATCATCTGTTTGCATTATTACTAAAAGATATTACAGGAGTACCCTTATTTGACTGACTGTTACACATTCATGATTTTCAACAGGAGTTAGATGGTTGATATTTTCATCTCTGACATGATCTGTTTAGCAACTGCAATTCTGTTGTAGATCAAAAGCCATAATATAGTATGTAAATAAATGAGCATGACTGCATTTTGATAAAACTTTATGGATTCTAAAATTTTATTTCCATGTAATTTTCACATATTCTGAAATTTTATTTTTCATTTGATTCTCCCCTCCCCCTTCTCACAATTAGTAAAAGTGAAAACTATTCTGAGTTCGTAGGTTATACCAAAAAAAGGTAGTTGTCTGGGTTTGACCCATGGGCCATTCTTTGCTAGTGCTTAATTTAGAAGATTATATAATAATATCAAAAATAATTATAATCTGTTGAGCTAATAAAAAACCCAACAGGTTATAAAAGAGCATATGTACAAAAGCAAGTAACAGCATAGAGATAACACTGAAAGAAGAGAGATCAGAATATTAATGGTGGTTTCCCTGAGTACATTGTGCGTAAATTTAATTCTATATTGTGTTCATTTGCATTTTTGAGTTTTATACTCATTATTTTGTTTTTCAATGTTACGTCAGAAAAAAGTTATTTAAAAAGTGAAAATCTGCATTCTCAGCAAAATCAGGCTGTTTCTTATTAATGATCTGATATGATATGTTTTGTTTACCCTCTGATTCATTTTTAGCCGACAAGCCCCAAATTTGGAAAAGCTGACTCATACGAAAAACTGGAAAAGCTAGGGGAGGGATCCTATGCTACAGTGTACAAAGGGAAAAGCAAGTAAGTCCATTCATTTTTGCACCTTTTATGTGTGAGCTGTATCTGCTTTGTTAACCCCAAGTAGCATTATGTTCAGGTCATTTTCACTTAGTATACAGTAGATTTTATTCTTTTATTAAAGTGTTAATGTTGGTGGATTTGGTTGTCTCTGCTAGCAGACATATTTGGGCTTGTCCAATATATCTTTTCTGTTAAACTCCTCCTTGGACTTTGTTTTCTGTTTTTCTCAGTGGAGTTGGAACTTTCTAAAGAGAATTAATTTCCCAGTGAATGATGTGATGAAGTTCTCAAGGAAGTTTAGCATTAACTTAAGAATAGGAGTATTGATTTGACAAAGGCAGATGCAATGGTCATTCTTGATGTCTTTTTTTTTTTTTTTTTTTTTTTTTGCTCTAAAGAAACTCTTCATTTAATAAGTACAGATTTCATAAGTACAACTTTAGGAATATAGCGATTCTTCCCATCATCCCCACCCTCCAACCCCCACTCTCACCCACCACCTCCTCCTTTTCCCATTCCCAGTCCCATTCTCCATTAAGAAAGAAAAGAACAAAACAAAACAAAACAAAACTTCCTCAACAATCAAGACAAGGACTGTTCAAGTCATTTCTTATCAAAGTGTCAATTTCACTTCTACAGACTGCCTTTTAGGTGCTTTATTAGTTATCACATATCTGGGAGAACATATGGTATTTGTCCCTTTGGGACCAGCTTATTTCACTAAGTATGTTTTCCAGATTCTTCCATTTTGTTGCAAATGACCAGATTTCATTTTTTTTTACCACTGTGTGTAGTATTCCATAGAGTACGTATACCATAATTTCTTTTCCAGTCTTCAGTTGATGAGTGTTTTAGTTTATTCCATGTCTTAGCTATTATGAATTGAGCTGTAATAAATATGGGGGTGCAGATAACTCTTATATACTGGTTTCATTTCCCTTGGTTAAATTCCCAGTAGTGAGATGGCTGGGGCATATGGTAGGTCTATATTCAGATTTCTGAAATATCTCCATACTGATTTCCATAATGGTTATACCAGTTCACAGTCCCACCAGCAGTGGATTAGGGTACCTTTTTCCCCACATCCTGCCAGCATTTTTTATTTTTTGATTTCTGTATGAAAACCATTTTAACTGGGGTAAATTAGAACCTCATTGTGGTTTTGATTTGCATTTCCCTGATGGCTAATGATCCTGAGCATTTTTTCATGTGTCTGTTGGCCATTTGGATTTCCTCTTTTGAAAAATGTCTATTTAAGTATTTGTCCATTTCTTAACTGGGTTGTTTGTTTTGTTGTGGAGTTCCTTGATCTCTTTATATATTCTGGTTATTAATCCTTTATCTGTTGCATTGTTTGCAAATAATTTCTCCCGTTCTGCCAGTTGCCTCTTTACTTTCTGAGTGTTTCTTTTGCAGTACAGAACCTTTTCAATTTGATATAATTGCATTTGTTCATTTTGGCTTTGATTGCCTGTGCCTCTGGGGTCTTTTCCAAAAACTCTTTCTCTGTGCCAATGTTTGCAGGGTTTCCCCAATGTATTTCTAATAATTTGATGGCATCAGGTCATAGATTTAGGTCTTTAATCCATTTTGAATGGATTTTTGTGTAAGGTAGGGGTCCAGCTGCTTACTCCTGCATGTGGAAACCCAATTTTCCCAGCACTGTTTGTTGAGGAGACTGTCCTTGCTCTAGGGATTGCTCCTTTGTCAAATATAAGTTGGTTTTAGATGCTTGGATTGATTTCTGGCATTTCTATTCTATTCCATTGGTCTTTAATCTGTTTTTGTACAGTACCAGGCTGTTTTGATTGTAACTTCATTGTAGTATGTCTTGATATCTGGTATTACGATGCCTTCAGCTTTGTTTTTATTGTATAAGATTACTTTAGCTATTCGAGGACTTCTGTGCCTCCATATAAATTTCAGCATCATTTTTTCTAGATCTGAGAAAAATGCCTTTGGATTTTGATTGGTATCACATTGAATCTGTGGATTGCTTTCAGAAGAAAGGACATTTTGATAATATTGATTCTTCCAATCCATCAATATGGGAGATTTTCCCTTCTTTTTTTATATCTTCTATTTCTTTTTTTAATATTTTGAAATCTCATGATAGAGATCTTTGACATCCTTGGTTAAATTTACTCCAAGATACTTGAGTTTTATTGTAGCTACTGTGAATGGGATCAATCTTAGAAGTTCTTTTTTAGTCATGGCATTGTCTGTGTATACAAACACTGTTGATTTTTGTGTATTGATTTTATATTTTGCTACTTTACAAAACTCTTCTATGAGTTCCAATAATCTTCTGTTGCAGTCTTTTGGATTCCCTATGTATAGTATCATGTCATCTGCAAATAGGGATAGTTTGACTTTCTTATTCCCAATTTGAATTCATTTGATTCTTTTTCTTGTCTAATGGCTCTGGATAAAACTTCCAGGACTATATTGAATAGCAATGATGAGAGTGGACATCCTTGTCTGGTTCTAGATCTCAGTGAGAATTCTTCCAACTTTTCCCTATTCAACAGGACGCTGGTGGTGAGTTTGTCATAAATTGCCTTGATTGTGCTGAGGAATGTTCCTTCTATACCCAATTTGCTTAGAGTTTTCATCATGAAAGGGTGTTGTATTTTATCAGATGCTTTCTCTGCATCTATTGAGATGATCATATTATTCTTGTTCTTTAGTTTGTTAATGTGATAAATCACATTGATTGATTTGTGAATGTTGAACCATCCTTGAATACCAAGGATAAATCCCACTTGGTCTGTGGGAATGATCTTTCTGATGAGTTATATTCGACTGGCCGCATTTTTTTTAAGGATTTGTGTGTCTATGTTCATCAGGGAAATCGGTCTGTAGTTCTCTTTTCTCTGTTGTATCTTTTTCAGGATTAGGAATTAAGGTGATGCTGGCTTTGTAGAAAGAATGTGGGAGTATTCTCTCCCTTTGAATTGTTTTGAAGAATTTGAGAAGAAGTGGACTTAGTTCTTTCTCAAATATCTGGTAGAATTCAGCAGTGAAGCCATCTGGTCCTGAGTTTTTCTTTATTGGGAGGGTCTTTACTGATTCAGTTTCCTTCTTAGTAATGGGTCTGTTTAGGTTTTCGATGTCTTCATTTCTCAATTTAGGTAGGTTTCTTCTTGTCTGGTCAGGTAGACTCAGCTGAGCTCCTCTTTTCGAAGAAGATCAGTGCCTGGGCACTAGCCCTAGTGAGTATATTATTCGTCTGCTCTTCTACAAGGACCACACAAAGGATCTGTGCAGTCCTCAGTATAAGCTCAGATTCCCCAGCAATGTCTCTTGCCAGGTAACCAGAGAGCCCCGATTGTGTGGAGCCTCCCACAGGGACTACCCAATTTCCCAGCCACACCCTGAGTCTCCCAGACAGCCTCAGTGTTTTCACAGTCCCATCACACAAGCCTCCCACAGTCATGAGTACCTTAGCCCCCTGTATGTTCTCCCTACTGGACTCAAGAGTCTCCACTTGGCCTGTTGCTGGGTGCAGACATGAGCTGGTGCAGTTGTTAAGTATGTCCAAAATGGCACCTGCTGTCTGTCAACTGCGTTATAGGACACCTTTATAGGATGACTGAGGAGAGAGAAAATGTGCACCCCTCTTTTTTTTTTTTCTCCTCTAGTTTGATGGGTACACTATCCCCCATGGGCCTCCAAGCCGAATTCCCTCTAGGCTCTTCCTGCAGCTTTTCACTACTAGCTTGGGCTGCTGCAGTCTGGTCTTCCCTCGCTCTTTAACACTGGTGTGGAGGCTATAGGCTGGAGGGGTCCTAAGTTGTATACGACTTTGCCCTCCATGTAGGTCCACTGTGTTCCTCCAATTTACGTAGTTTCCTCTGCTGTTTTCTACCCAACTCTTCTCTGAGAATGCACTCTTTCTCCTTTTCTTAAATTATTTTCTCCTAGACTCGAGCAGCAAGCTCCCTCCCTACCTTGCCATCTTAATCAACTCTTGATGGTTTTTTTTTTTAAGATTTTATTTATTTATTTGACAGGTAGAATTACAAACAGTAGAGAGAGAGAGAGAGAGAAAGGTCTTCCTTCCGTTGGTTCACTCCCCAAATGGCTGCAACGGCCAGAGCTGTGCCTATTCGAAGCCAAGATTCAAGTGCCTTCTCCTTGTCTCCCACATGGGCACAGGGGCCCAAGCACCTGGGCCATCCTCCACTGCTTTCCCAGGCCACAGCATTATTATTTCTAATAATAATAATCGGAAGAGGAGCAACCAGGACTAGAACTGGCGCTCACATGGGATGCTGGCGCTAAAGGTGGAGGATTAATGTAGTGTGCTAAGGCGTCAGTCCCCCTTGATGTCTTTTTAAATTGAGCTTTCACTCCATCTTTCAGAAGTCAATTAAAAACCCCACAGACTCCTCTCTTTCCTCTACCTGTGTCCTTGGTGTCATGCTGTATTTCCACAGATGGAAGCAACTCTTCTGCATTTTGTCCTCTTGCCCCCATGGCCATCCTGGTTTAAGGACATGGGCTTGAATTCCCTAGAAGCAGGACTCCACATGTTTCTGTTGACCTCCAGCCTAATTAAGGCAGAGAGATCCTGTATGTAGTGGCCAGTAGCTTGCAGCAAACTTCATGCTGCTTCTGAAGTAACCACGGTAGATACAAGATGTTTTAATTTCATCACTTTTACCATGAACTGAAAAATAATTTTCTAGGCCATGCTCATTATTTTCTGTTTCATTATTATGTATTTTATTTGAAAGTTAGACACACAGTGGACACACACACTCATGCACACATGGAATTTCCGTCCTTTGATTCACACCCCAGTGCCCACAATGGTCATGGTTAGGCTGAGGCTCAACCTGGGAGCCAGGAACTCAATCCAGTTTCCCTTGGTGGTAGCAGGGACCTGATTACTTGAGCCTTCAGGGCTTCTTCCCTTGGTCTGCATTAGCAGGAAGTTGGAGTCAGGAGCTGGAACTGGGAAACTGGACCCAGGTATTCTGATGTGGGATGCG